GTGTTTATACACACACACACACACACACACATACATATATATATATATATATATATATGACACACTACAGAAACTTATTTTGTAGTATAATGATAATAAATATGAATGAAAATAAATTTTAAATACAATTTAATAAATATTAGCAATGCATTTGTTGCAATTTGTTGTAATATAATAAAATGTTAATAAAAATAAATCCATAATCAAATAAAATATTACATTAAAATATTATATACTATTATATACTGTAAAAATAATATATATTTGTATGTATATATACACACACAAACATTTTATTTTACATTGTTCGTTTTATTTACACCTTAAACTGTATATTTCCAATTTTAAATGAAAAAAATTATCTATTTATTGTATTATTATGCATTACAGTATATGAGAAATGTTGGCTCACTTTAAACAATCATATACATACATTTTATTTGTACATAATATTGATTTTATTCACATATTTACATTTATCTATCTATATACTGTACTATTCATATATTATTTATTATAGCCTATATACTACATATAATTTTAATGTGAACTACATGAATATGGATATAAGTAAAGTGGTGTTCTATTCTGTGTGCGTCACTGTCAGTCATATGGACTCAATCGGGTCATTGAGCGTGTGATTGTGTGTGAGGTCCCGTTGTGTCGGGTGAGAGGCCCATTGTTTCGGGGTCCCACACACTGGAGCTGTTGTCACAAACACATTGTTGCCGTGGCTACAGCCTCATTTTTAATTTCTTCAGCAGTCTTGCGTCTGTAATGACGGCTGATGTTAAACTGAATTAACTCACACTTACTGCTGAGCTGCAGGAATCACTTCACAAAGTGATCGAAAAAGACGATTTGTCTGGGTCTCATAGATATTTAAGCTAAAAATCAGTTTTGAGTTTTACTTTTACTTTAAACTAAATTGATCATAATTGCTGTCAAAATACTACAGTTACCGCATTTATCATTTTTAGTGTGAAATCATAAATTAATGGGATCTCATTCAACAAGTCTATTATGTTTTCAGAATTTTTCTGTTTAATATATTTTTTGATGACAGTGATTGATAATAGAAAGTTAACCGTTTTATTCCAGTAAGAATAACTGTAGAATTGGTGATATAAAATATAAAAAAATATTTAAAATTGAATTTGAATAATTTTGAATAATTTGAATGATTTTAAATACTTTTCTAACAAACTGAACAATCGTAGTTCATATATATATATATATTAATATATTACAAAATGAAAAAAAATTTACAAATTAAAAGTTGGAATATTTTGAGAAAAAATAAGTCGTAGCAATAAGAGAACAAACTCGAAATTATGAGAATAAAGTCAAAATATTTGGGAATAAAATGGAAAATGACGAGAATAACGTTGAAATATTACTATATAAAATAATCGAATAATACTACTTTTTGAATTGATTCACTGAAAACTAATAAACTATGTCTACATTTTATATCAACAGCAGTTGTATTCAGTTTATAACTAGTTACTAGTAACTAGTTGTGGTTAGTTAGTGTAGTAGTAGTAGTGTGTCAGAATCTCTGGTTATCGTGGTAAATGTTTGATTTTTAATGCACGTGATGTTACCTGCAGAATGGTGAAGTTTTCAAGTACGCTGTTCATCATGTATTTCTCTGGTAGATGCTTGAGTTTGTGGATGAAGTTGATCATGTATTCACACAGCGGCGATCGATGGATCCTGAAGACGTATCTGCCGTTCTCAAAGCGCGCGTACTCCGTCTGAACGACACACAGGTGATTACTGTTTCTCAAACTGAACACAACTCACACACACATGCCATATAACACAATTATGATGACTTAATATGATGATATATTTGCATATGGAGGGGATCTTTCTCCTGATCTGACCACTAATGTCATTTCTCACGGCCTTTAAAACAATTAGATGGACCTGTGCTGGCCGTAAGATGTTTTTGGTGTAAATACGTTGTGACAGGTCACATTTATTCCTACCTCCACCTTTTCCACCACCTGTTTCCCAAACGAGCAGACTTTAGTGGAGGAGGTGATGATCATATTTTCCGAGCTCTCATACTGACTGGATACGCCGTAGAAGAAGCTGCTGTCGTCCTGGAGGTTGATGCTCAGATCCGCCTGCAGAACACAACACACACACACACACACACCCATCCAGAATCAACACACACATGTGGAACTCCATAATAACAGTAAAACTAAAAGAAAACTACTGTGATGGTTTACTGATGGCATCATATATTGATATTGTTATATGTACCGTAGCAATGAATAAATACTATATTCATGCACTACAATAATACTTCAGAGGATACTATCAGGGTAGTGTCCCGAAAACATGGTAATATTGTGGTTTTCCCTTGTATATTTTCAACATGTTTTCATTGCATTTTATTTTTTGAGGGGAAAATGCATTTAAAACAAATTTGGGCGAGTTTCACAAAACCTGTTAAAAAACATGTCTGGGTTGCATTTCATCCCATAATCAAAAAGATATGAAATATTAGATTATATTTTGCATCAACAATAAGTATCCTATTTTAACAACACTATGGTTTTATGTATTGTGACATTTTCATGAAAATTAATGTCATAATGCAAAAAAATTAATTAAAATAAAAATCATATAATGCTTTATATATAATATATTTGTAAAATTATTATATTTTCATATTATTAAATATATATATATATATTTTCATTTATATATATTTTGGGGTAAAGTATAGTTAAATTAGTTAAAATATATAATATGTAATATAATTTTTTCTTGCTTTCCTTTGACTTTGGGGTCAAATATGACTAATATAAGACAGTAAAAGCCCAGCTCTTTCTCTGGCCGGTTCAGAGGTCCAGCAAACCAGAGGAACCAAAAACACAAATCAATCACATTTTCTTTAGAAAACTTTGAAAAATCTGCAAAAGGTCTGGAGTGATTCCGTCTGAAATCTGTGTGCCTCTGGTGTAGCCTACTGATATCAGCTCATGATCTGTTTGATGAACAGACGGGACAGCGAGAGCCGAGAGGCCAGTTGAAAAGCCATCATCGCATCCCACAATTCACAGCAGCGCAGAGGTAAAGCAGCTTCACCTTTTCCCCCCTGCGCCCAATCCTCATAACGTCCCATTAAGAGCACAACACCGTCCCCCTCTCTCCGCTTTATTCCCTCGTTTATCTTCATTTCTCGCTCGCCCGCTTGCCCCTCTCTCTCTGCGCGGGAATTCATCCAATTACAATCAACTACCCGCCACGCTCCAAATCACATTAGCGCGTCCGGCTGCGTGTGTAACAATTTAGCACGGCCGGCTCAAATCGGATTGCGAGCGCACTTCAAAAGCACGGGCCGATCCGTTAGGACAGGGCCGCGAGGCGCGCTGTGAGATGATGGCCACAGCCGGCCGGAAATCTAATCTAGAATGCCATAGCTTCGGAGAACAACCTAGCGGGCCTGTCAGCGTCCCCATGACTAGCTGTGCCCGAGGACGCCCCAGTCATGACCGATACTTATGAGCGCAGGAAACGGCAGCCTGGCCATGCTGAAGCCGCTTTTTTATAGCCGGATTCTTAATGGACTTAATATATCTAATGTTTCTTCACGGACACCTGAAGGGCCCCGGGCTCTGATAAAGGTCTCGGATGCTCTTTAATGAACAATTCGTGTTTTGTTGGGTGTCATGATGCCAGCATTTCAGTAGATGATACTGATACCAGTGAAAATGCAGGATTCTCAATGCCGGAGCAAAAACTGATATCAAATCTTTACTTTATTCGTCCCCGAAGGGCAATTAATGCAACGGAATAAAATGTCTGCAACTGTATAAAAAAGACAAAACAACATTAAATGACACTTATGTATATATCATGTATAAAAAGTATATATATATATATAAAATCATTTTCATAAATATTTTATTTTAGAATATATATATATATATATATAAATGCATGATATAAAATATATTATATTCAATAAAATATTGAAATAGATAGATAGATAGATAGATAGATAGATAGACCCACAACGCAAACAACGAGTCTAGACAGTCCCAGCGTAATCTCACGAACACAAAAAGGCAACAATTAAGCACTTGAAGTGTCTCTCAGGAGGCTCTATAAATAGCAGGCTGCGTGTGGTTTGGAGGGAGTGACAGGTGCCCAAGCTCAGATTTCTCTAATGAAAGAGCCGACCTCCAACATCCCACACTCAAACCCTTCTCCACAGCGTCACTGTCCCACAATACTGATATACAGCAGCCAATAAACAGTCTGCATTTTCATTTGCTGTTCCTACTTATTTACAACTTCAAATGTCTTATTTAAGAAATAAGATAAAGAGACCCTGTGAATATAGTACACGTAAACAACTACTGTTACAAGCCACTGTAACGATTAACTGGGAGAATTTAAATTTGCATGTAGTTACACATTTGTGTCTCTTCCAAATGCAAATGAGTTGGAAACCATAATAAATAAAAGGCAGAATGTTATTTACAGATGTAACTTATATTGAAAAAAATAAACAAACTAAATAAAATAAAAAATTCAATTAAAAATAGCATTAAAAATTAAATAAAACAAAATAAAAAATAAAGTAAATCATAAATAAAAAATTAATTAAATTAAAAATAAGCAAAATAAAATAATATAAAATCAAAAATACATAAAATTATGTTTAAAAATAAAGAAAACAATAAAATATAAAGGTAAATAAAGTAAAAAAGGAAATTAAAATAAAAAAAATAATTTAATAAAAATAAACGAAATAAAATAATATAAAATTAAACATAATACATAAACAAAACAAAACATAAACATAAACAAAACATAATAAAATATAAAATAAATTCGGTAAGTTTCAATCATTTCAAGCAACCTGTTTCAATTAATCAATTTAAAAACTCTGATGCAGTGATTAATTTCAAAATTATGTTATCTCTAATTGTAAATTGTACCCTTTTAGAATAAATACAAAAGGCTGAAAAATATCACACACACACAAACAAACACACACACACACATATATATTTTAATATTAGTGCTGTCAAACGATTAATCGCATCCAAAATAAAAGTTTTTGTTTACATAATATATGTATGTGTACTGTGTATATTTATTATGTATATATAAAGACACACACATACAGTATATATTTTGAAAATATTTACATGTATGCATTTATATTCATATAAATTATATCATATATAAATATATTTAATATAGAAACGTAACATATTTTTCTTAAATATATACATGCATGTGTTTGTATTTATATATACATAATAAATATACACAGTACACACATATATTACAGTATGTAAACAGAAACTTTTATTTTGGATGCGATTAATCGTTTGACAGCACTAATATTAAAATATATATGTGTGTGTGTGTGTTTGTTTGTGTGTGTGTGATATTTTTCAGCCTTTTGTATTTATTCTAAAAGGGTACAATTTACAATTAGAGATAACATAATTTTGAAATTAATCACTGCATCAGAGTTTTTAAATTGATTAATTGAAACAGGTTGCTTGAAATGATTGAAACTTACCGAATTTATTTTATATTTTATTATGTTTTGTTTATGTTTATGTTTTGTTTTGTTTATGTATTATGTTTAATTTTATATTATTTTATTTCGTTTATTTTTATTAAATTATTATAAATACACACACATACAGCATATATTTTGAAAATATTTACATGTATGCATTTATATTCATATAAATTATATCATATATAAATATATTTAATATAGAAACGTAACATATTTTTCTTAAATATATACATGCATGTGTGTGTATTTATATAAACATAATAAATATACACAGTACACACACATATATTATGTAAACAAAAATGTTTATTTTGGATGCGATTAATCGCGATTAATCGTCTGGCAGCACTAATTAATATTGATATTGTTTTTTTTTTGTTTTTTTTAGATTATATCATCCAGTTTGTCTAACTAAATAGTTGGGAAATTTTTTATATTGCATGTACACCTTTATGTCTCTTCCGAATCCAAATGAGTTAGAAAGCAAAATAAATAAAAGGCAGATCGTCACTTCCAGATGTACCCGACTAGCATGACACGACAGTGACTAGCTCTTTGCCTGACGGTCCAAACAGAGAGCTTCATTCACCGTTTGGGACATATCTGAGGATCTTACCCAGAACTTTACAAGGAAGAAAGCGTTAGCCGGTCCTTTCTCAAACAGCTCCTTCAGTCCTCCTTTCTTCTCTGGGAATTTGTCGTAAATTTGCCGTATATCCACGGCCTCGAGGTACGGATCGCTATACGTGGGGTTGGACTGACCGATGTGTACAAACAGGTGCTTGTTGACCTGTCAAACAAAAATGTCTGTAAGTGTAAGCCAGTTTGATCAACATCAGTAATATACCTTCCCACAGCAACACACACACTCACACACACACACACACACACACACACACAGAAGGACTCACAGTCTCTGGGTCCTGAGGTTGCTCCAGGAAAGCGGAATACTCCAGCATGCGCAGTCTGGAGCTGGCGATGCTTCGGCCCTGCCAGGGCGGCGCGCTGGAGGACATCGACAGACCCGTAGTGCTTTCATAACCTGAGGAAGCCATCGTGACCGATACTGACCATTAATACTGTAGGTCATTCAAATCAGGAGTAGCTTTTAATGGTACAGACCTGTTATAGGCAGAGGACCGTTGGCCTGCATGACGAAGTTTTGTTGAGAAAACGGCTTGATGCTGTTTGGAAAAGATGATTAAATGCCAGCTTTTATGATGTTTGTTGATTATGCAAGAACACAAATTATTGAAAAATTGCAGATTATTAAAATAAAATTGTGTAATATAAAATCAATGTTGTTTTTACTATATATATGTGTGTGTATGTACAGTATATATACACACTATCAGTCAAAAATTTTTGATCAGCATATTAGAATGATTTCTGCTTTGAACGCGGCTCAGCCAATCAGAATCAAGGACCGGAACTCTCCGTTTTATAATTGACATTTGTTAAGTTCGGTTTGGCTTCTCTGTAACCTCTGTGTCCTCTGTGACCGCACGTCATACTTTAAACTGAGTCAGATGTGCAAACCCTTGTAAAATGATCAGGCCTTAATCACTAAGATGTTAAAACTCACACAAAACATGAACTTACTCTTCAGGACCTGTGGTTTGTCCTGCGAGAGCTCCGTGCCAAAACTACAAAAACAAAGGCATGAGTGTGTGTGTGTGTGTGTGTGTGTGTGTGTGAGTAAGTGTGTGTGTGTGTGTGTTGCTGTGGGAAGGCTGAAGGTGGTTTATGGCTCTGGCAGCGTCTGAGTGGTGTTGACAGGTCGACTCCTTCTCCTAGAGGTCAAATGAAGAACTGGGAGCTCCGACATTATGAAACAGGAGTTAACTTCACTGTAAGCGACTAAGAAAAAGTAGCTAAATACAATGAGTGAACTATAACTATTTTAAGCATTTTTAACAGCACTTTATCAGATAAATGTACACTAAATACAACCAACAGAACTAGAAAGCACTATGTAGCCTGGGAAAAAACACAACGAGGAACATTGTTTAAGTCAAACCTTACTGCACAGAGAATCAATGAACTGATGAATCCTTTTTCAATGGTTCATTTAGATTAACTGTCCAAACAAACTGATTCACTAAAAGGAGTCGGTTTTTGATTCCGAATGTTTCATATGAGAAAGAGGGGGCATTTTAGCTGAGCACATTTAAGTATTGCCTCAGTTTGAAAAATAAGCATATCTATTAAAAATAAATATATCTGAATATGGTATATATTTAAAAGAAGTGCAAAATGCAGCAGAGTTCAGTGCGATGACTGGAATCAGTGAATTGTTTCCTTTTGAACTTGTTCGTAAGAATGAACCGACTCACTAAAATGAATCAGTCATTCTAAAGCTTCACATGAGAAGGAGAGGACACATCTTATTATTGCCTCAGTTAAAAAATAAGTATATCTATTAAAAATTAATATATCTAAATATAATAAATATAACCAAAATGCAACAGACTTCTGCGCAGTGACTGGAATCAGTGAACTGATTTTTCTGAACTTGTTCATCTGAAAAAAATGATTTTAAAAAGTCTTTCTAAAGTTTCATAATAGAAGGAGAGGACATTTTATTTTATTATAAAAAATGTTTAGCTATTAAAAATAAACACATTGAAACATAATAAATATATATTTAATTATACAGTGTGTGTGTGTATATATATATATATATATATATACACACACAGTATATGTCAGCAGTGAATTGTTTCTTTTTGAGCTCGTTTGTTAAAATGAACCAATTCCCAAAAATTAATCAGTCTTTCTGATTCATCAAGAGAAGATCAGGACATTTTAGCGGGGTATAGCTTTATTATTGCCTCAGTTAGAAAAAGAAGTACATCTCTTAAAAATCTAAAAATCTAAATACAATAAATATACTTTAAACTAAATATATTGCTATAAAAAATGTAAAATGCAACTTCTGTGTAGTGACTGTAATCAGCAAACTTGTTTCACAAAAATTAATATAATAAAAATGAAAAGCTTCATATGAGAACAACAGAACATTTCAGCTTAGTGCATTACTGCCTAAGTACTGCCTCATGGAGAAGTCACAGTCGTCCGCGACTAGCCCAAGCAACTGCTGTGTCCTTGAAGCATGACTAGCCGATGCATTCTTCAGCCCCGATCTGGCAAACGCTGCAGGCTGAAATATGGGCATGTGTGTGTCCGTCACAGTTCTCAGTTACAGAAACGTATTTAAAAGGGCTGTCAGTGTTAGCCGTGTGACCAGTAGCCTACCACACTCAGACAGCTGGGCCAAGAAGGCCGACGGCCAACGGGTGAACTATGCCATATGATGAAAGACAAGAGCATGCAAGTCTGCTAAGCCCTTATACAGCCAGAGGTCACACGTTTTCCGAAAATTAGCGACGTGCTTAAACTGATTTATAGTGTAGTGTGTGATATTGCTAGCAATTATGTTTGTATCTGAATCATGCCTAGGCTATATTCACTCGGACATTAATGCAATTGTCCAGAATCTGAGCTTCTCTTTGCATCATTAACAAACGCTTTGGCTGTAAAGCGATAATGGTGCTAATTTGCAAGCAGGTGATCGGCATTAGCAGAGTTCATTAGCTACCTTGAGTTTCACCTGGATTTCCCGAGCTGTCCGTCGCGCCAACACCTGAATGTGACTGGAGACCTGCGGAAAACACACAAGATTTGAGCCCAGCTGATCTTATCGTTTAAAATGAATAATCATTTATTTCTTTAAGGAGTAGTTCACCCAAAAATGAAATTTTGCCGGGCGATTTAACTTTAAACCGTCGCTTCTGGACAAAATATGAGTCCATACTCCATAATAATGCTTCCTCCAGTGGAAAAGTCCATCTTCTACTGTCCCCTCACATCAAAATCCACCAGCATATGTGTTCAGATCGGTTTTTGGACTGTTTTGGATTGTTTTCGGCTTGTAAACGGTGCTTGATCTGTGCAGATTTCTCACCTGATTCAGACAAGACGACTTTTTCACTGGAGAAAGCAATATTATGGATCATGGACTCATATTTAGCCGGAAACAACCATTTGAAGTTAAAAACGCCTTAATGATGGATTTGTTTCTTATAGACACACAGTTTTTCACTTCTCAAGACATTAATTGATGGACTGGAGTGGTGTGGATTACTTGTGGATTATTGTGATGTTTTTATCAGCTGTTTGGGCTCTCATTCTGACGGCACCCATTCATATCCATTGGTGAGCAAGTGATGTAATGCTACATTTCTCCAAATCTGATAAAGAAACAAACACATCTACATCTTGGCATGTCTTGAGGGTGTGTGCATTTTCAGCTAATTTTAATTTTCAGGTGAACTATTCCAGTTGCTGGTCCCCACTGACTATAGTATGGAGCAAAAAAAAATACTATGGAAGTCAATGGGAACCAGAATCTGTTTGGATACCAACATTCTTCAAAATGTTCAACAGAAGAAAGAATTTGGAACAACTTAAATAAATGTCTTGGTTTCTTAAAAGAAGCCCAACTTAAAACAAACAACTTTGCTCTGTAATTTTTAACCAAGGTTGTGCGAGACAAACACAGATTATAAATTCGTACAGAATTGAAATCTCAAAGTACGCATGGAAAACTTTACCTAACCAGCGATTGCTTTGACCTTCATTTGTTCACTTATCAGGTGCGATTCTAGTTTCCCTTCTTGTATTTAGTTATTGTTTTACCTCTCGGGCCCCCAGCTCACCTCGACTCTACTTAAGACTCAGTATGTGACAAGGCCGGAGTGACATCATGCGATATCGAATGCCGGCGGGAACGCTATCGGATTCCAAATCCCCACCCCAGCAGTGTGTGATGTGCCCCGAATCGTAACGGGGCGACCGGGAGGGAGCAGTTGTTTGTGGGTCTAACGAGCAGGACTGAGAGAGGTGCTGAAGACACACACCGATATCCGATCCGCGCGCGATAAATCACACCGCTGAAGTGCGTTTCAGCAGGGAGGCCCTCAGGGGCCAAACATTTACACTCAGTGAAAGTCTGTTTGGGAGTTTAACAGGACAAGTCCCAGTCTGACATTTGCTGTACTTCCTGTTGCTGTTAATGTGTGACACAGAGGTCAAATAAAAGTAATTTAATCCACTTAGTTAAACTGTAGCTGCTATTTTAGAGTTGCCATCAAAGATTTGTATACAAATGCAAATGTAATTTCCTAATCATAATTTTTGTCTTGTTTTCCAATAAAAATATATTAACTTTTAAAAAAAAACAGGAAAAATTCACTTTTTTTAATTTATTTTTTTTAACGTACATTTTTATTTAAAGTGACTTGCGGTGCACATTACATTTTTATTTGTTTTATCAGTGAATCAAACCTGTTAGATTATGTAACTAACTACAGTTTTCATCATGTAATCTGTAATCAGTAATGGACACACACACACACACACACACATACATATAATAAACCAAAATAAAATACAAAAATAAATAAATTACATAAACTAAGTTTTAAAAATGTACAAACTAGGTTAGGTCTCCAAGATGCTTCAAGAGACCTACCTGCAAAGCTACAGTACTGTTACAAGTTTCAGGCACTTGTGTAAAAATGCTGTAAAATGAGGAAGCTGTCAAAAATAATGTCATAAATAGATTTTCTTTATCAATTAACTTCTATGAACTAAATTAAATCAACATTTGGTGTGAGCATCCTTTTGCCCTCGGTGCAGTTGCTTATAGTTTCTCAGGGAGCTTTGCAGGTAGGTTTCTTGAAGCATCTTGGAGACGTTGGCACAGTTCTTCTGGATTGAGTCTGTCTCAGTTTGTTCTGTTTCTTCATGTCACTCCAGACAGACTGATGATGATCAGATCAGATATCTGTGTGCAGCACTGGCTGCTGTCAGACAAAAATATCACTGGATTATTACAATCAATGTAAACTGATGTTTCCTACCGACACACTACAGCAAAAGATAGAAATAACTGACTTAAAACCATTTTTAAGCTGCTGAAAATACTAGTGTTCTAATCATTTTGACCACCACTGTATATATGTGTGTGTGTGTATTTTATATATTTAATAAACATTAAAAATAAACTAAAAAATGTCTACTCTATTTTTCTAACCTTGAGCCTGCAACTCATCTCATGTGATAAGCAGATCACACATGACCTGTGTTTGTTGCAGGACTGATGTTGTTGAACACATGGTGGACTGAGGCATGAAGTGTGTTGACAGTGAGTTTGAGTAAGTACATAGCTAAAGTAAGAATGTTTACCGACACAAACACACGTCTTCATCGGCTGCAGTGGCACGACGGAGCAAGTCATTCACATGTGCGCTGGGGAAGTTATCCAACAGGATCCTGTGCTCGACGTAACTGCATTTGTAAATGTGAAAGCAAGGCTGTGAGATCTTATCTTTCAGGGTTTTCGATCGGGCACAGTGATGCAAATCATATCGCCCTCCCTTACATGAGTGTTCATCTTTTTTGCAGCGATGCTTTTGCTGACAGACGGGTCACGTTGGACGAATGAAAAAGGGTACCGACACAACACAGTCGACACCCACCGCAGCACTGATGGCCTGGCGTAGAGAGGAGCAGCAGCTGGTCTGTGTGTCAATGTTTATAGAATATGCCTTTACGCTTCCCATAAATCACTGGGCTCGTTCATCCGGCCAGACGCCGGTTACTAGCACACACTAGTACAGAACCCCTAAATGCCCTCTTACCCAACGAAAAACATCTGTCTGTGGCTGTTTTATGGAGAAAATGACCTTGTGATGCATGAGAGGGTCAGACGTTGCTCTTTAGGAGACTTTCTCCTCTCAGATGTTTCTCCTAAAACTCCTTTGGAGAAATAAAAACAGATACAACTGAGTCACTAGTCATCCAGTAAGAGTATAAAGCTCTAAAATGATTGTGAGACCATTTGATGAGAAATGTTTGAGACATTGTTGAGATCTCTTCTTATTAAAGAAGAGACAAGCATTTCTGACAGCCAATAAAAGTCGATGACGATGCCTGGCATGTTTTTAGCTTCAAGAGCTTCTCAAAGGCATCGTGTGAGATCTCACTTTGAGCTACACGCGTGTGTATGTGTGAAGATTTTCCACTATCTTCTAATGTCATCTTGATGATGACACATAGCAACGCCCTAAAACTACGTAGAGTACCCTAGCAACGCATAGCTTTGTACTAAAAAGCATTAAAGGGGTCATATGATGTTGCTAAAAATAACATTATTTTGTGTATTTGGTGTAATGAAATTCGTTTATGCGGTTTAAGGTTCAAAAAAACACATTATTTTCCACATACTGTACATTATTGTTTCTCCTCTATGCCCCGCCTTTCTGAAACGCGTCGACTTTTACAAAGCTCATCGGTCTGAAAAGCGAGGTGTGCTCTGATTGGCCAGCTATCCAGTGCGTTGTGATTGGCCGAATACCTCAAGCGTGTGGCGGAAATGTTACGGCCCTTACCATATTGTGATGCCCTGTCAGGCCAGAGCGACGAGACAAAAACATTAAAACCCATCATAAACGAGGCATTTGTTGCATCCAATGGGGACATAATTACGGATTATAATGACGCATCGCGCCGCGTAAACATAAAACCATGTCTGCATGTGTGATCGGAGAAATGACAAACAACAAGCACTACTCTACACTGCCCAAAAAAACTCACGTTTGAATCGTCAGTGGCAAATCCTTTAAATATAAAAAAACGTACTTACAGTCGGTGAGTCAGAACAGCCGGCATTGTAGTCTACTCTCACAGGATCAGGAAACAGTCCTCCATAAAATGCGCTGCACACACCTGAATATTTGGGTTGAACTGTTCTGGAACAGTGGTGTAAATACAACTTAACCACTGATTTCTAGTCATGTC